ATTCTATTCAGAGTAAAACTATATCCATTACTTTAGATTAGAAGCAGCTAAGACTATACAATATGGATTAATCAATTAAACTAGGAGAGTCACCTGAATTATTTTTTAAAGCAGTTTGTTTTCCTTGTGAATATGTGATCACATGATGAAAGAAAACCTTTAAGAAAGAAGGATTCATAGATGCTAATTAATCTAAACTAAATCCAAACTAAAATAGTGTCTTTGTATACCCTTCACTGAAGCCAATACTGTACAAAGATTCCTGATTTATTTAATAAAGATTATTTTAAAAAAAAATGATTCCGGTGTTTAGGGACTTCTGGTTCAGAACACTAGAACAATGGCTCCCAAACCCAAGTCCTCCACCAGGCTGCTATAGAAGGACTCCCGGGGAACACCCCCAGATTCTAATCAGTAGTTCTGGGTGGGGCCTAGGAAGTATGCACTTTTAAAAAACTTCCTATAGCAAAAAAAGATGAATGATTCACAGAGTAAGAAATTTAAATGACCCTTAAACATATTTAAAAAAAAAACTCAACCACACTCAATAGGAGAGGTGCCATTAAAACTTCACTGACATACTTCTTACCTATTAGACTGACAAAAACCCTGCAAGTTTGCCCACGTTCTGTTGGCCTGGCTATGGAAAAGAGGCCCTCTTTCACAACGCAGATGACAATGCAAATGACAATGCAAATGGTACGAGCCCTATGGAGGGGAATTTGGTGATAAATTCTCCCAAAATCACATATTCATTTACCTTTTGACCCAGAAGTCCAGTTTCTAGAAATCTAGTTCAAAAATACATTGGCAAAAATATGAACTGATTTATGTACAAAGTACTCCTTGCAGTATTATTTATATCAGCAAAATACTGGAAATAATCCAAATGTCCACAGAGGGGACTGGTTAAATAAACAATCACATCACAGAACATTCTGAATCCACTAAAGAACTGAGGAAGATCTCTACACACTGACATAAAGTGATCTCCAGGACACACTGTACAAGACTGGGATAGGGATACAAACGCATCTATGTGTTACCATATTTCCAAAAGGAAACACTGCAAGTATAAATAAACTAATAAAAACAATTACCTGTAGGGACAGGGGACAAGGATGGAAATGCGACTTCCCTGAATGTACCCTGCTAAATCATTTTGACTTTGTAAACATAAAATATCTTACATATTCAAAAAATTAACTTAAGTCAAAAAGTAAAAAGAACAATCTCTAAAAATCTAAAAATAGAAACAAATGAATACAACTTTATACCAAATTGGTGACATAAATGCATAGAGAAAATAATTATTTCAAGTGACTTTAAAGGACATTTTTTTCTTTTTTAGAGACAGGGTCTCACTTTGTCACCCAGACTGGAGTGCAGTATCGTGATCGCAGCTTACTATAACCTTGAACTGCTGGGCTCAGGTGATCCTCCCACCTCAGCCTCCTGAGTAGCTGGGACTACAAGTGTACCACCATGTCTGGCTAATTTTTTTATTTTTGTAGAGACAGGGGTCTTATTATGTTGCACAGGATGGTCTGGAACTCCTGGCCTCAAGTGAGCCTCCCACCTCGGCCTCCCAAAGTACTGGGATTATACGCATGAGCCACCACTCCCCGTCTAAAAGGTATTATTTTGTCTATAAGTCCTGAATAGAATGTATACAGAGGATAAAGATTGCTGCAAAGAAATCTTAGGTTTCAATCAAAAGTCTAATTGTTAGTAGAATTACTGGCTTCATTATTTTGAAATTGTAAGATATTACAGGATAATGAAATGTCAGGATTGGATATAAGATCATGCATAAGTAATTAGGCTAATTTAGTCAGGAATTTAAGATTTCCATGTAAAAGGAAAGTGATATACAAGTATAAAATCAAAGAATATTAAATCTGTGTTTGAAATATCTGTATAAACTCATGATTTTTCTCTTTTCAAAAATACACATTTTTCTGAAAAAGCCTAGAAGCAATGCTAAAAATTAGGAAAAACTCACACTCATATTGTGGTCTCTAAATATCATTCCTCACTGAAAGGAATCAAAACTCCATGAAGCAATGTTGATTCCAGGTCTGGGCAGGAAATACACAGATCAATGTGGCACATCTAATGGTGTCTGAAAGCCTCTAAAATCACATCAAAATGACCTATGGGCCAACTCAAAGAGGTTCCTACTAGCTAAAGATGGGACAATTTAAGCAGGAAAATAATAACTACAAAGGAATGGCACATGTAAAATATTCAACAATCTCTGGAGTCATAATAATACTTAAAATAAAAACGCTCAAGTCATGGGTCACCCCTGGAGGCTACTAAAACAGCAACTCTTCTTTCTGAACCTGATCAAGTAAAGAATTAAGCATCTATCCTGCCTCTTCTGTGCAGGATGTATTTCAGGGTAACTAAAGGAGTTGATGGGGAAACTATTCTTTATAAAAGAATTTCTGCTACTAAGTACAGAAGTAATGATAGAATTTCACCATCTTGCAACCCCCGATGACATAATGAATCTAGACAACAATCTTCAATGGTTATTAAAATCATCAGGGGAAAAGTTGATGGGGAACTTTTCAATAGAAGGATAAGGCTGACGATCACAAGAAGAAAGACAACCAAACGCCTTGTGCCTCCCGATATGATACAGCAGGGAGTACAGGGCACCACGTCTGGAGTAGTCTTGCCAGAAACATTGATCCTGAATCTAAATAAGCCTCTAGAGCTACCTAACAGCTTAGGAGATGCAAGAAATGCATCTTAAATGCCACATGTTAAATGCCACCAAATCCAAAATGTGGACATTAAAAAGACACAAGAAATGACAATGAGATGTCAACAAATAAATGGCACGGTGGGATCCATCAACTGACAAATGGATAAACAAGATGCGGTGTGTCTATACAGCGGCACGTCATTCACCAAAGAGGATCGAAGCACCGACGCACGCCACAGCAGGGGCAACCGTGAAAACAGCACACACAGGGAAAGCAGGCAGACACAAAAGGTCACATATTGTATGATTCCATTTATATGAAATGTCCCAAATGGGCAAATCCATAGATGCAAAAAACAGATTTGTGGCTGCCTGAGGCAGGAGAACAGGGAAGGGGACAGGGAATGACCGCTGGTGGGTATAGGGTTTCTTTCTGATGGGACGAGAAGGGTCTAAAATCAGGTTGTGGCGATCATTGTACACCTCCGAATATACTAAAAAACACTGAATTGTACACCTTAATAGGCGACTTGTACCGTATGTGAATTATATCTCAATAAAGCTGTTAGAAAAGCATGAGGGGTTTTATAGGCTTTTTATAGACTTCAGAGACATATAAATCAAATGCAACATGTGGACTTTCGTTTATTAGAATTAGGATCCAAACACCTATAGAGACATTTTTGAGACTATCAAAGAAAACAGAACAAGGGCTAAGTATTAGATGATATTCTGTAGGTGTGATATTGGTATTGTAGTTATGTTCAGAAAAAAGAAAAACTAGATGGATGAAGCAAATGTAGCAAACTCTGGATTATTGTTGAGTCTAGGTGATGATCATTTGGAGGTTCACCGTACTTTATTCCATCTACTTTCATTCATTTTTAAAAACTTTATTTTAAAAAAAGGTCCCCAGAGGATTCTGATGTGTAAGTCACCTTTGGAAGTACTGTCCTGTACACGAGCTCTGGGGATGGAGCGTGCCCAGCCTCCCAAGGGCCCACTTGCCACAGAGGGAAGCAGCCCGACAGGCCTTCCCACCAGGGCTGCAGTTGGGGAGCAGTGACGTGGGCACAAAGTGGACATGGACACCCATGAAGGAGGCAGTGGCAATACTGCAGCTGGTATTACTATTAGTAATAGTAAGTCCCCATAATTATAAAATACTCAGTGTATACGTGCTCAACATTGGCCATGGCGGTTAGTCCTCACAACATGAGGTAAGTGTGATTGTCCCAAGTACAGATGTAGAAACCTTACAGCTCTAAGGAAAAGCCCTCCACCTGCCTACTCATGGTGGCCTTGGACAGAGGGTGCCCTGCTTTGGGTTAAGGGTCTGTGCTCCTCTCCTGGCCTCTGAGATTGTCTGGGGAGCCCAGGAGGGTGGGGCCGTGGTTCAGCCTGCTCCAGCTGCTCCCCATCTTGCCCCCAAACTCACCAGCTCCCGGCTTCCTTGGGCATGCTGCCTCCTCCTCATTCCCCTTCTCCTGGTCCCAGTGATCTTTGGGACAAGGCTGCTCTCCCCTCTCTATCCGGGTAAGGATGTCCGGTTTGGAGATGGCATAATCTGTGTGGGGAATGGGGAGAGAGCTGGGTCCCATATGCCCACAGAGATGCAGAGACTCCCAAAGTAATAGAAGCCAAAGCAAAGACACTGACTGCAGGAGGCCAACCTGCAGACAGAGGCCCAGGTCCTCCTGTGCAGCCTTACCCAGGGAGACCAGCATCTCATAGTTGCCCCTCATCACGTGCTTGTAGAGCTCCCTCTGCCAGTCCTCCAGCTTGCCCCACTCCACCTCGGAGAAATACACGGCCACATCATCAAAGGTCACGGGCACCTGGAACCAGAAGTATGGCACACACTCACCCACACGCCCAGGCATGGAACCTTAGGTTCCCCAGGCCAGGGGACCCAAGGGCTACCTTGGGGACCTCCCCCTTGCTGCCCGGGGGCAGCCGCAGGACCCAGAAGTTCCTGTTGCGCAGCAGGTTCTCCACGTTCTCCAGCCGCCGCTGCAGCAGCCCGTACTCCTGCAGCAGGGTCCCCAGCACGGCCCACTTGCCCTCCAGCTGGTTCCCGAACTCCACGGCCGTCTTCTCGCAGTCGGCCAGCTTCTTCTCAGCTGTCCCCGCGCGCCCCTCCAGAGTCAGCAAGCGGGCCAGGCAGGAATCTACCTTCGTCTCCAAGGCCTGAATGGCGGCCACCACTGTCCACAGTGTGATCTCCGTGGAGTAGAGATATGAACTCTTCTCAGCAGCTGGCTGGGATGACAGAGGAGGAGTTGAAGACCTCTGGTCCTCTGTTTGCTTGTCCCTTTTGGGACCCTGATCACAAGAAAAGAGAGATGTTATGGAATTATGCAATCGAATTTCCATCTCAAAAAGAAATCTCAGAATGGCACCTGCCCTAGGAAAGCCCCATCTGCGATCCTGAGGGCCATTTAGCAGAAGAGTGGGGGTGGATAGGGAGGCTAGGATATCCACCCTCGGTGACAGGAGATACTGGCCGCACCAAGGTGCTTGCAAGTGGGAAACAGGAGGAAAAACATGGCTGTAGAGAAGCAGCATGTGCAGTATCAGGCAAGTGACTCCTCTTCCTGGGACTCAATCTCCTCCCCAGAAAATGAAGGGCCAAGGCTTTATAGCACATAGAGAACACGACCTCTGTGGTCAGACAGCCCGAGTACAACTCACAGGTCTGCCACTCACAAGCTGGCCAACTGTGAACACGGTTTTTAAAGTATCTTTCAACTTCACTTCCACATCTAAAAAATGGAGATAATAATATTACCTACATAATAGGATTGTAAGAATGAATAAGAATCTTTGTTAAAAAAACACTTGTTACAATGTCTAGCACACAATAAATAATAAATGTGAGCCCTATGTTGATAGGGCTAAGAATGTAATGATTGCTATGGAATGAATGTGTGTGTCCCCCTAAATCCATATGCTGAAGCACTAATCCCCAATACGATGGCATTTGGAGGTGGGGCCTTTGGAAGGCAATTGTGTCATGAAGGTAGAGCACTCATAAATAGGATTAGTGCCCTTGTAAGAAGAGACACGAGAAAGATGATTTCTTTCTTCCAGGTGAGGACACAACGGGAAGATGGCAAAGCATGAAGACAGCCCTCACCAGGAACCAAATCAGCTGGCACCTTGATGTTGCACTGCCAGCCTCCAGAACTGTGAGAAATAAATTTCGGTTGTTTATGCCACCCAATCTACGGTATTGTGTTATGACAGCCTGAGCAGACTAAGACAACGAGGTTGATGATGGGATGGTCTTGGCTCAGGAATACAGTATGAAGTAGTTCACGTGGCCTTTTTTTTCCTCCACCTCTTTCATTCCATTGCCCTTCAGGGCCTTGGAGAAAAGCTTCTGAAGCGCCTCAGCTTGCCTTGGCGTCTGAGTTACGAGTCCTCACTGTACACATGCAAGTGGCCCAGGTCCTCGTTCGCACTGCTAAAAGCCTTGCTGGAAAGACAAACTGACATTTCAGCTCTCCATTTCATGTGCCCTTCATGGTTTGAGTCCTATCTGCTTGACTGCATCTCAAATCCGTCCACTTGCCTCCTTCCCCACTGCCATCACCTAGTACAAGTCGCAATCGGCCTGGCCTGGGCCACTGCAATTCTGCCCGCTTGATCTCCCCACTTCAACTTCTCTCCCACGATACACAGAGTAGTCAGTAATCTTCTAAAAACACAAACTAGATCATTTCATTCCCCTGCTTAAAACTCTTCAATAGCTCCCCAGTGCACCTAGGATAAAATCTAAACTTCTTCATACCCCGGCCTACCTCTCTGACCATACGGCCTCCCAGTTACTTGCTACACCCCAGCCACTCTGGCCTCCCATGGGTTCCTAGGGTACACCAGCTCTCCTCCACCTGGTGTCTCTGCACATCTGGGTCCCCCTCATCTTTAAGGTTCTGGCTTAAACATCACCTCATAGAGACTTTCACTGCCTGATGCATCTAGTGCAAGCCCCATGTTAGTCCCTTCCTTCACAGCACTAATAAAACATAATTTCATGTGTTTGCCTGTTTTATGGTTTATTTCTCCCATGTTTATTTTCCAGCATATTATGTGCTATTGTATCCCCAGCTTCTGAAAGAGTGCCTCACTCATAGCAGATGCTCAATAACTACTTACTGAATAAATGAATGATAAAACAATGCATGCATTCAATAACGATCACTGAACCCTATTACACTAAAGGTACAATGGGGCCAGGGCTCACACCTGTAATCCCAGCGCTTTGGGAGGCCGGAGGAGATGGATCCCTTGAACCCAGGAGGTGGAGGTTAGAGTGAGCTATGATCACAACACCGCACTCCAGCCTGGGTGACAGAGTGAGACCCTGTCTCTAAAAATAAATAAAGATACAATGCGGATGCAGAAAAATTAATGTGGCTCTTCCTTCTCCAGGAGGAAAACTCTGTACAGAAATACTTCTTATTTTTTAAGAGACGGGGGTCTCACTCCGTTGCTTAGGCTAGTCTTGAAGTCCTGGCCTTAAGCAATCCTCCCACCTCAGCCTCCTGAGTTGCTGGGATTATAGGTCAGAGCCACCACACCCAACTTAGAAATACTCATAATAACTGTGTGAAAGAATGGACTGAGTTAAGGGCAAACCTGTCCTTTTTGGGAAGTCTGGGGCTCTCGGGGGCTGCAAGGCCACAGAGGGAAAGGAGCAGGTGGATAGGAATGGTCAGATGGTACCGAAGCAGTGAGCCAGGGCCAGGCCGGGCTGATGTGTCACCCATACAGCTACGGAAAGGCCTTCCAGCCCCGCCACCCCCATCCCAGGGAACAGGGCCATAAACCCTCAGAGTCCCAATCCCTTTCTCTCCCTTGCACTCAGGGAGCCCAAATGGAAGTACAGCAAGACTCACTAACTAATGGAGAGGGAGAGGAAGTTCCCTTTAAAAAACATCCAGAAAAATCAAGGTTTCAAAACTTCACTGAGATGTATTAATAACAGTAGATACCACTTCTGAGCTCTTTATAGGTGTTTTTCTAGTATGCCAAAAAATGGAAAAGGATTATTTTCTTAGAATTGGAAGAACTGCACAGTATCACGGCAACATTCCAAAATCTGCTAATCTTTAAAAAGAAAAAAACTCCATAATTCCTCTAATAAACAACGTTTTCTCTCTTTCTCCCAGGTAAAAGTAGAATACCAGGTATCTTAAAAGGGGTCTAATTCCAAACTCCTGGCCTGGGCGTGAGGCTCCGACATCCGCTAGGTGAGGGACCTTGAGCCAGTCCCTTCCCTAGCCTCAGACCCTGCGGATGTCACGCTGGCGACCCCTGTCCTCCCTGTCTGCCTTGGGAGGGGGCCACGGGACCTCAAAGGAGACAATGGATTTGGGAAACAGCTACTCAGTTCAGATGCGAGGTCGCACCGTCGTCTTCAATGAGACTGTGGCGCCCAGCTTGGCAGAGGCCGCGGAGGCGCCAGCTTCTTCTGCTTGCCTGACGTCGCGCCCCGCCCGCCGGGCCTGCAGTTTGGGCCGCCCGGTCACTGGCCTCCAGGCCGGGCCCGGACGCCAGACGAGAGCCGCAGATGGGCCTCGGGGGCCCGGCGCGGGCCGGGGCGGTGAGCTCGGAGGCTGCGCCCGTGGCCCTCCCAGCGGCCGGCCGGGGCGCGGCCCGAGACCCTCGCGCGG